CCCCAAAACCCCAAAACCCCGCTTGATTGAATTGAAACTAATTATAAAGATAGTGAAAATCATGAATTTCATAATTAAAATTATTCTTGGAATTTATCGTTCTTTTAAACTTTAATCTTATAAATTGGACAATAATTAATTATAAATTTTTATACTTTTTTGGGGCCAATATTTAGGATTTAACCTTTAAAAAGGATCACAATCTCTCTAATTAATAATTAAATATTTCTAAAGTCTTTAGTCTTTAGTTTATCAATTTTCACAATGAATCCTAATCATAACTTTCACAATGGTATTCCGACTCAACAAAATCATAATGGCTTTTATAATGGACAAGCAGTGAATCAGTAACAATTGTATAGACCTAATGGTGATATCAATGGCTAAGCATCTATACTTTAAACTAATCAGTTGAATAGATAGTAGATTTCATTCAGACCGGGTGGCATCATCGGAGCTAGTCCTTCCAACATCCAATAGCTGAACTAAAACAAATAGTTAATGCAATAGCAAAGAGTAATGGGTACTTTCCCACCATAGAATTTAGCTAAGGCACCACAGAGTGAAATCTGCCTAAAGCATAATGAAAACAATGTTGCCTTTAACAATCATTCTAGAGAGATAGTTTGTAATTCTTGTATCTTTGAAAACAAGATGGGTGATCTTAAATTTACTGCTGTCGTAGTCAAGGAAATATAAGAAAAATTTGCAAAAGAGTTTGAAAACTACAGATCAAAGATGAGCCAGATGACTGAAGCAGACGTAGGCAAAGTTAAGATTTAGATCTCTGAACTTATCTCATCTTTCTTCTTAAATTTGAAACAGACTCTGACTTAATTTTAGCTAAGTGTAGCAAAGAAGATTGAGAATTCAGAAAATCTCAAGAATCTTGATAGAGTCTTTGAACAAAACAAGGATTTAATTCAAACTGATCCTCAGCAGCCAAACAACTTTGAAAAGGAGAAGAAGATATTTGATGAAAAAATTAACAAAGGTAGATTTGCATATGTGGTTAAAAGATAAGATTTTTACAAGGGATTAATCGAAAATCTTGATAAATCAAGACTCAAAATGAAACAGACCATAGATGAAAGTCTTACCTATCAGTCTAAGATTTTGCACGTTAACAATAATGAAAGACTCATATAAGAGAAGTTGGCTGAAATAATGAAAGATTGCATATCTATTGACTCACTTTAGCCCGAGGCAGGTTTAGGACTTAAACTAATCAGATCAAACACTGCTCCTCATAATTAAATGAGCATCAATAATAATCATCCAGTACAACATCACCCTATTCCTAATCATATTATGATGCAAAATAGACCTATGCAAATGCAACAGTAATAGCAATAACCAATTTAATAGTTTAATCAAATGCCAATCCAAAATAATAATGCTAATTTATCTCCTACTAGAATGCAAGTAGAAAATATTCAACGACCGAATGGAATGATGCCACTTCAAATGTAACCCTTACAATAACCAGGACCACTGTAGCAACAAACTCTCATTAACTAGATGACTCCTCAATAATTTTAAATGTAGTAATAGCAGTAGTAGTAGTAGCTCTAATAGTAACAAATGATGTAAAGATAAGGTGCACAAGCAAGTCCAATACTTGTACCAAATCAATAGATGGTTCCTCTTTAGATGTAGAACATGGCTTAATAATTAAACAGACCTCCTATTTAGCAAATGAATTAAATGCAATAACCTGTAAATTTATAATAAACTCAACAAATTGCTCCAAATATTATGAATGGCTAAATTCCTCAACAATAATTTCCATAAATGATGCCAAATTAGCAGTAATGGAGACCAGTTGTTTAAAATGGATAATAGATAAACCCATAGATGAACTAACAAATTTAATTTGGAAATATTTAGTAAGTTCCATAGCAGATTCCTCAAGTTATTTAGCAGCAAGCGATCCCTTAATCAATCTAATAACAAAATATGAATGATGAAGTACTTATTACTGGCTCAAACTTTAAGAAACCCAATATATTAGAGTATCAATACAACACATTCTTCAAACTTAAATCTATGAATTTACTAAGATTAATACCAGGTTAGGTCTGGTAGAAGTATCATGAACATTAATAGCTTTTGCTAGCTAAATGTGTATTCACTCTTGATGAGAGAGTCTTTGTGGTAGGTGGTGCCAGGGATTAAAAGGCCAAGGAGACATTAGCAGATCTTATTGAGCACAAATAAACTGGAGATGCTCTTGTCACGAATTAGAGAGCATCTATGATCACTTCTAGAGCTTCATTTGGCTGTGTTTATAGTCCAGTTAGAAACGAAATAATAGTTGCAGGGGGATACGACAAAGGAGAAGTAACTAAGAAGTGTGAAAGATATTCGTTATAAGAAAACAAGTGGTACCCACTCCCAGATTCAATTGAGGCCAAATGCTCTTAATCTCTTTGCATTTTAGATAGCAGATATTTATACTCCATTGGTGGATTGAGCAAAAATAACGAGGCATCTATCACACTGCAAACTAGCATTGAAAGACTGGACTTAAAATGTGAGTAAGGCTTGAAATGGATTTAACTTTAAATGAGACTTAATGAAGCAGCTTGTGATGTAGGATGCTTGCCTCTCTCCTCAAATGAAATGTTGATATTTGGTGGATGGAACAAGAATCCCCTTTAGGGTACCTATATCATTAAGAATGTTTCAGATCAGCAGGCAGCAGGCTAAATTGTTTAGCCTAGATAGGATCCATTAAGACATGAGTTGAAACCATTGATCGATGGTGGAATTGACAGAGCTGACTTCTTTATGATCAGTGGTATCGCTATGCAAACTGGAGAGCCAAATAAGATTAAGGTATGTGGACACACTTAGCTCTTTACTTTCGATATCGAGCAAAGAAAATTCTTGTGCTCAAGTAGCGTATGATTAAGACTAAACTATCCTGATTATGCTTATTCTTAAATCATAACTCGCTAATTAATTATTTAAATAACATAGATCGAAAATTTTACTACTTAGGGGTTTTGGGGTTTTGGGGTTTTGGGGTTTTGGGG